CAAGACTTTGACTCAAAAAACAAAACAAATAAATTAATGAAATAACAAAAGCAGAAAATGAGCATAGGGCCAGGCCTGGTGGCCCATGTCTGTAATCCCAGCATGAAAGTACATCAATAGGAAATGTATGTTGGTGTCGTGGAGCAACATCTCAAAAACCCTTGGAGGATGTTATGGACTGAATATGAGACCAAGGCAGGAGGATCATTTGAGACCAGGAGTTGGAGACCAACCTGGACAACATAGTATGACCCTATCTCTACAATTTTTTTTTTTAATTAGCTGGGCCTGGTGGCATGCTCCTATAGTCCCAGCTACTCAGGAGGCTGAGACTGGAGGATCGCTTGAGCCTGGGAGGTGGAGGCTGCAGTGAGCCATAATTTCACCACTGCACTGCAAGCTGGATGGCAGAGCAAGACCCTGTTTCAAAAAAAAAAAAAAAAAGTTGGCAGACTTCAGTTGGAAAGTCTTAGTCCCAGTGCCCTTGAAGGGCAGGAGTGGTGCTTCTGCCCTGTGAATGCCTTCTGACCCCACCACTGGGGAGAGGTGGACACGAGAGTGGAAATCAGTTGCCTCTATCAATGGTGACAGCTGGATGTGACCACCTGCAGGCTCCCTGACACCTACTTCTCCTTCCTTTACCTCTGTTGCAGCCCACCTTCCCACCCCTACCACACACCCTGCCATGCTGGATAGGGCCTGCTGGGTGAGCTTCCTCAGGAAGGAGTGGGGACTCGGCCAAGCATCCCATGAACGAGCAAAGCACAGACACCCTGAGGGGTGTGCAGCCTCAACAAGTCCTAACCCACACTCAAGACAAATTAGACGAGGGATCTTAGAGATGGGTGACTCCTCCAAGAGCTCCAGAAAGGGTGGAAGTGCCTATCCTTGGCCCAGAAGGTAATTTTGAGAATTGAGAGCTTGAGTGTCAAAGGTTGTAAAAATCAGGCCGGGCATGGTGGCTCACACCTGTAATCCCAGCACTTGGGAGGCTGAGACAGGCGGATCACCTGAGGTTGGGAGTTCAAGACCAGCCTGGCCAATATGGTGCAATCTACTAAAAATACAAAAATTAGTCACCAGATGTAATTCCAGCTACTCAGGAGGCTAAGGCAGGCAATCCCTCGAACCTGGGAGGCAGAGGTTGCAGTGAGCTGAGATCGCGCCACTGCACTCCAGCCTGGGTGACAGAGCAAGACTCTGTCTCAAAAAAAAAGTTTGTGGAGTTCAGAATAGCATTTCTCAGAAAGCCCCGCTACTGCTTGCAAATCTTTCCTTTTTTTTAATGACCCTGCACAGGTTTCACTGTCACAGGTTTACTTAAAGTCTTCTGCTTGATCTCAAGTAGCTTGGAGAAAAAATCCCTCAAAGTGTTGCCCTTCAGAGATATTTTCAACGGCCTTTATTAGAAGGACCATTATTTAAGGATTACATGGTATGACACAGGGTGACTCTGCTGCACCAGAGAAGAACACGCTACGGAAAACACTTTCTCTCCTTTAAGTCAAGTGTTTTCTGTGTCATCGGCTTGCCCAAGCATCCCTGGCATCTCTGCTTCTCAACCATAGGCTATGATGTGAATGGTGCTCCCAGGAGTAGTGCAGTACACGACCTGCACAACTGTATGTGGCAGTCCTGCCTACCCTCAGTGGAAGAAGGATGGAGATGTTCCCCTGGGTAAATGTGGCATATGTCCCTCACTATAAGCAAAAAACTAGAGCGAGTGTGAAGTCAGAAGTCCACCCAGAGAGAGAGGCAGAGTTGCAGGACAGGGATGGAATTCCAGTTCTGGTGTTCGTTGTTTTGGAGGCCCAGCTTGACCTCTGCCCTTCCCCTCGCTTGATTACATAAGTTTCCAATAATGTATTTTATTTTTGAAGCATAAGTTAGGTTTGTATCGCCAACACATTCTATCTAAAAGCCCAAGTCTTTTCCTTAACTTGTCCTAAATGGCCAGTTATTAAGAAATTCCACTGAGGGTTTGGCTGTTGCATACAGCCTTGTGGGCATTTTGCTTATCCAGGTTGACTTTCGCATCTGTGACACTGGCCTACGTGGTGAGGGATTCCAGTAAACAGGGCAGCATGTTGAGTTCTTGAATAAGTGTGTTGTGACAGCCTTTGTTACAGCATTTAAAGAACAGTCTGTTCTCAATGACTGACCCTTTGTCTGCTGACGTCAAAAACAAAACAAGACTGCAGACACACTCTTGCCAATGATAGAAGGGATGCATGTTTGAAGTGGATTTTTTTCTATTTTTTTGCTTGGAGAGGAGGGTGTGTGGACACTAGGCTGGCCATGGTCCAAGCTGACCTATTTGCCAGCCGACCCCCGACTGGGCTGCCGTAACAAAGTGCCATCATCAACTGGGTGGCTTATAAACAACAGAAATTTATTTCTCACAGTTCTGGAGGCTAAAAGTCCAAGATCAAAGGTACCAGTAGATTTGGTAAACCAGGAAGTGGTGAGGGCCCACTTCCTGGTTTATAGACTGATGGCTGTCTTCTCACTGTGTCCTCAAATGGAAGCTGACGTTTCACAAATATTTTCTGGGTAAATGGATGGGTGGGTGAACTCATGGAAGGGATGCTCCTTTAGATGAACGCTTGGATAAAGGGCGTTAGTAGAGGGACAGAATTGCAGCTCCGTCCGGCCAGGGGGCGCTGCAGGCACGTCTGCGCAGGTAGGGGCCCGGCGGAAGCGCCGCTCTAGGCTGCAGCCGCGCCCCCAGCCGTATTTCCGCTGGCGCAGAGCACCAGAGAGAGAGTCTTGTGGCTGCGGTTTGCAGACTGCTTTTCGCCCCCCTCCGCGAGGTTGCCCCTGTACTCGCCGCCATCCATCCTGACGCCCGGGATGAGTCACTGAGGGGCAGCGCCCGAGGCGTGGTCTTACCAAGAACCCCCAGTGGCCTCCCAAGGCCGGTGTTGTGTACCTCCTTCCTGACAAAAGGGGAAACTGAGGCCCCGAGGGGAGTGGGAAGAGCCGGCCGGACGTCAGGCCCAGCCCCTGGTGCAGTGCTGCGTCCTTTCCGCCGGGGTGGGCCCCTCAGGATTCGCGTGTCCTCGGGAAAGAGACTGGCGGGTGAGCCGCGCCCTCGGCCTTCGCTGGGCTGAGCCGACCCCATGCAGACGTCAGACCCCCGGTCCGCACAGTCTCTATGCGGGGAGGCTTAGTGCCCCTTGAGAAACGTGCAGCCCGGGGCCTTGCACGCGGGCTGAGGGGCTCTAGAGACCTCGCGACTTTCACTCCCCCGACCCCGATCTCCGACTCCTGACTTTGGAAGCCCCCAAAGCTGCTTGTCGGTTGCCTACAGAGTGTCAGTCATTGTGCCACGTCCTTGGAACCGTTAACTCATTTTCTCCTCAATAACCTGTAAAACCTCCACTTTAAAGACCAATTGGCTGAGGTTTTAATAGAGGACGCCCAGGGCCCCAGAGGGGCGAATTCCAGGCTCTTTTGCCAGAACCTTGTACTAAGCCCCTTCCCTATGCTTTTCCCTGCCTAGGCCTCGTGGGCTGTGCGGCTCTCCTGGAGACAGATGACAGCTCTCCCTTGGATGACTTTGCTGGTTCCGCACCAGCCAGAGCCCCCGTTTTTCCTGCAGCACCCTGATCTGCACTCCCTGAGGGGCTCCCACTGTCCGCGCGGTGAGGATGTCCCTGGGTAAGTGGTGCTGGTCATGAGCACCTTGGGGGACCCTTCAGATTCCCTTCTGGGGGACCCCGCGGAGGGCATGGTCATGAATTCCGAGAACTGTCTGGCAAAGCCGGGTGCAGAGGAGAGCCTGGCTAAGTTCTTTCATTCTCTTGAGCTTGACTTTCTGTAATGTAATGAAACTGCGAAAACTCTGTAAGGGGGAGATCTTGCACGTTTTTCTTCCTTTTGAACCCATGATGTCTGGCAACCCGTAGATACTTAATATTTGTGGGATGAATGAACAATTTAGCTTTTTTTTTTTTAACCAAAAATTAGTCTTCTGTGACTTTCTTGATGGGGGCAGATGAGATCTTTGTACTGCATTAAGTGGATAGCGCTCAGGTCCTTTGGGCTTGGCGCTTTGGCAATCTCCAGGCAGCTCATTTTGGCCTCTGTTCCTGGATTGCCCTCTGCTCTTTCCTGCGCCTGCATTCGTAAGTGATCACGGGCCGCCCATGTCCTGATCATTGGTAGTGCAGGCAGAGGAAATGTGGGAAAGGTTGCGGTGTTTGGAGGGTCCACATCTTCACCTTCCTGTCCCGGGAACTTTCCTACACTCCTGCTTCTCAAAGCTGCACACATCTGGGGCATCCAGGGGATTGGGGGCTGCCGTGGGTGTTACGTCATGATTAGAGCTTTCACTTCCTGCTCCCTGCTGTTGGGAACCAGGCTATGTGTGTTGCTTAAATTCCCTTGACGACCAGCAGAGTCACTGCCTCAGCCGCGGCACACTCCTGTAAACCTGGTTTTGATCTCCTTTCAATCTTCTGCTGATTAAGTACACATTGATCAGTGTTGGCCACCCTCACCCTGCCATAGACCATCCACTGTCTTCCTCTGTAGAGTTAACTATTCTCTCTTTTATGAGGAAATAGTGTGTTTGCTTAGGAATGTTTACGGTCTGGTAACTACTGTGCTAAGCCGTTTCCTGTTGCTTGCCATCCCTGCTGTGAGCAGGGACAAGCTAGGTGCTCACTCATGGCATCTTATCTGTTGCAGATAGTCCACTGTGTGCAGAGGCATGGGAGTTGTCATGTCGGGAACATGCTAGACCTTAGTGTCCTTGAGGTAAGATCTCTGGTTCATTCTTTGGAATGTTGGTTCTTTGTATCTAGTACAGTCCTGTACATGTTCCCAGGGGCTTTGGGGTTGGTGTAGGGGAGTTGAGAGGTGAGATGAGAATGGCACTGTGGGTCCCCAGATCCACTGTCCACCCAGCCAACCCACATCACCTCTGGCCCTTCATGTGCCTTTAGGACTTCCTGCTGGGGGGAAACCTCCAGAGTCCCACTTTGGTAATAAGAGGTCTCTGCCCTTTCTCCCCGGGCAGCAGGATGTTGTAATGGAAAATGGGTGGACCTAGGCTTCAGAGACTGTGGTCGTCTGGCTTTAAATCCCCTTCTGCCACTATCCCAGTCAAAGACTGATTCAGAACCTAATTTTCTTCATTTGGAAAATAATGTTCTGATAGAGGTGACTTTTGTGGTACTTGAGACCACATGATTCCTATCATTACCAACCAGTATTTTCCCACTGTTTTTGCCCCATGTGACTTCTCTTTGATTCCTCCTGGCAGGGAAGTTCTATGGGGCTTTTACAGGAAAGCAGAGCCACTTTTGGGGTCCTGTGCTGGGCTGGATTGTTTTCCTGGACTGGACTTAGTCCACAGGCTGCTGGCATCTGTTTCTCCTCCTGCATCTCTCTCTGCCCTTGTATACACCTGCATTCAAAAATGATCACGGGCTGCCTGTGCTCTGGTCATCGATAACGCAGGGAGAGGAATTGTTGAAAGCCGTTTCCCGTGTTTGGAGGGTTCACACCTGTCCCTTTCAAATGCTGGCGCCTTCACACACTCCTTCTCTCCTGCCAGCACCTTCTGGTCTCAGGAGCATTGCAGGATGCTGTGTGAGTGAGTGATGGGAGACACTTTAGTGTGGCTTTTTTCAGCTTAGCCTCCTGTTACCAGCGAACAGTCTCTCTCAGTGTCAAGGTTTGGGTACTAGATGGTGAGAAAAGCCTGTGTGAATTATTTTTTTTAACAAGTAAGTGTGATGTTGGGTGGCATACAGTCACTGCCTTAAGATTTTCAAAGAGAAGCAGCCTTTTGGAGGTGGTGGACCTGGGCAGGTCTTTCAAAGAGTGGGATACGATGGGCAATAGAAAGGTATTCCAGGGAGGGGTAGCAACATGAGAAGGTCTTTGAGTCTGGGGTGAGCAAGAGTGAGACAGATGTGCAGGCAAGTAATGAGAGCGTGGAGGGATGGCTGCTGGGGTGGTCCTTGGCTCCCAGCACGGCAAGGTGGGACATCTATGGGAGGGGCCCTGAGGGGTCTCTCCAGCTGTCTCTCTGCCAGTTGCACATCTGCTCGGTTGCCTGTCAAGACTCCTAGGACAGTTTTGCTAGACTCCTAAGTTTTATTTTGAGTAATCTTCGGGAGCATTGAGATTCCTTTTTGAGATGAGTTTGGTATGAAAGAAACTGGCAACTCATACCTGATTGATTAACTGGGGGCATTCCCATTGACATCAGCTTGAAGAGAGATGGCAGAACACTGGCGACCAAGCACTTGCAGCCTCCTGCTCTGTGGCCCCTCCTCACTCCAGGGATGCCGCCCTGGGTCTGGAGACTGTTGGAGGAAACCCCAGGAGGTGCAGGCACTGAGCCTCTCGAGACAATGACCTGGGGTCCCAGCTTCCCTGGAGGGGTCTCCTCATGGTAAGTGAATGCCAAGAGGTTAAGTCGGCCTGTGTTTCCCAGGCAGAAATTCCAAGCTGCTGGCTTCATTTGTCTTCTCTTTTAGATTGTTTGAGGGTTGATCACAGACCAAAAGTGATGAGTGATGTCACTCCATGACGCATGGCTGGACCTTCTTGCCCCTATTGTCTCAGCACAACGCTAATCGACTTTTCCCTCAGCGTGGGTGGAGGGTGGGCAGAGGAAAAGCCCTGTGGCTCTGGGGACTTGGGATCCAGAGGTGAAGACCTTTCAGCTGGCTCTGCCCTGCCAGTGCCACAGAGTGCCATGGCCCAGGAAGACTGGTTTTCTTCCATCTAGGCCAGGCCATCCAGTGTCCTCCTGCCTGTTCCTGGTGTGACTTCTGAAAACCAAGAATTTGTTCCTGTTGACTTTTTCTGTGCTGTGGACCATTGTCCTCTCACGCACTCAATAAATCTTGAAACATGCCCTGCTGCTAGTTCTTTCATTTTTGTGTATTTGTTTTTTTTATCAGTATCTCCGTGTGCCAGCAAGACTGGGTATAGAGACTGTGTCACAAGGGCAGGTTTTCTGGTTCTCATTCGTTAAGACTTTCCCCTTGACACACACCCAAGGCTTGACCTAGGGAATGTGAGATGGAACGTGGGATTTGGACTGGGGTTGAACAGTAATCCCAAGTGCATCTAGGGGTTGCAGGGGTTTAGGCTTAGGAGAGACGGGGAACTGTTAGGATTAAGTTGGCGGGGGAAACATTTGAGCCAGAGCTTTGGGAGAGAAGACGGGATGACTTAGGGATGGAGGCAGGGGCGGGAGTCCTTGAGGAATGTAAGAGTGCCCTGAGCTCAGGTGGTGGATTGCAGGTGAATGTAGGAGTTGGTTTTGAGCAGAGGAGAGAGTGGAGTGTATGAGGAACAGCTGCCCTTGGAGAGCTCTATGGGTGTGGTAGGCAGTGCCAGCCGCTGGGGCTTCTGTTACCATGAGATAGATTTGGTCTTTGGGGATTCTCTTTGGTAGCAGCGATCGCAGTGATGTGCTCAGTGTGTATGTGTGTCACCACCGCACATATTACCCTGTCCTCGTTTTTTAGGTAAATTTCACACACAAGAATACTTCCAAAGGCCATGGGAGAAAGTGGGGGGTCAGTTGGTCCCATTCCTTTAGTTGAAATAGAAATCACTGTGACTAAGCCGGGCGTGGTGGCACACGCCTGTAATACCAGCACTTTGGGAGGGTAAGGCAGGCAAATCACTTGAGGTCAGGAGTTCGAGACCAGCCTGGCTGATATGGTGAAACCCCATCTCTACTAAAAATACAAAAATTAGGCATGGTGGCAGGCACCTATATTCCTAGCTACTCAGAAGGCTGATGCAGGAGAATCACTTGAACCTGGGAGGTAGAGGTTGCAGGGAGCTGAGATTATGCCACTGCACTCCAGCCTAGGCAACAGAGTGAGACTCTGTCTCAAAAAAATAAAAAAAAAAAGAAATCACTGTGACTAGGGTTGAGGGAAACCAGGCTTTCAGGCATCTCTGATGACCTCTGCCAGCAGGAGACGTTCTTGGGGACTGAAGAGTCCGCTCTGCCAGCCATTTCTGGCGAGGGCCTTATTTCTGCATTGTCCCCCTCCTTATTCCTACCCGAGAACCACCTGACACCTCTGATTTGCTCTCTTGAAGATCCCCCCCACCTGCTGCAACCCCTCTCTGGTCAGTTTTATCCAACTGTGGCCCTTGTCCTTTAGTGAGAAATGACCACATGTCCCCCACCAAAGAAAGGGGGTCAAAGTTCTCCCCTTTTCTGAGTCCACTATTTTTAGTGAAGTTTTACACTGGTTGGTGTCTTGAATTGGTAGACCTGTCTTTCGTTAGCAAACTGACCCCTCTCATTGCTAAGCAGGTTCCTGTCCGCTAATAGGACCCGTGTCTACACCCCACTCCCTTCTCCTTTAATCTCTCATTGTCTTTCTCTCTTTTATGGTCTTCTTGACCCACTATCTCAATCCTGCAACCTGGGGGTCCCTTACACCCTGTTTAGTTTGTTCTATAGGAGGCAACAGTGATGGAGTAGTGAAAAACACGGGAAGAGGCGAGACTGCCACGCAGTGGGGGAAGAGTGTCAGCTATAGAGATAGATCACTTACCGTGACCTGGCCCCCAGCATAAAAATTTCCTTACTAACCCAGACTGGTTGATTTGTGGAGGGTTCCCTCATTTATCACCCTATTTTCATGCATCCTAGTGGTTGCAGGCTGGATGTGAAGGTCAGTGAACTAATATGTTAGAAGCTCTTAGCATAGCACTTGGCACACAGGAAGTGCTCAGTAAAGGACAGCTCCTCTCAATCACTGGAACTTCCTTTCCAATTGTATGTGGTCCTCATTGCTGGCCCAGCCTCTTAGGTCTTTCTTCTCCTGCCCTCTGCCACCCTTGCCCAACCCTACCCTTGGCCTCTAACCTAGACGTCCCATTCTCCAGAGGAGACAGCGAGGCCCTCCTCACTCTGCCTGTGGCCTGCCTGTCCACCCTTTTCTCACACAAGCACCCTAGGCCTCAGCCACCCTTCTGCTTAAGGTTCCTGCACATGTTCTTTTCCTGGCCTATGTGCCTTGGAATGCATCATTCACTTCAAGCTTAGCTGATTCAGCTTGTGTCACTTTCTTCAGGAAGTCTTTGCCGGCGGAACCTCCACCCAGACTGGATTCCCCGCCCCTCCTTCCATTCATGTGAAATATCAGTTCTGTGCAGGCACAATTCTAGGAACTGGTAAACAAAACAGGCAAAAGAGCAAATCCCTGCTTTGTACTTACATTTTGGAGGACAAGGGCATATCATAAAGTACTAAAATGGGTAGAATGTTTGAGAAATGTTAAGGAAAAAAGTTATAAAGCAGGGAAACAAGATAGGAAGTATGGAGACCAGCAGAGGGAGTGGCATTTTAAATTGACTAGATGGGAAGGCCTCCCCAGGGAGGTGCAATTTGACTAAAGTGAGGAGCTCTCGCGGCTGGGTGTTCACTGCAGCCTGTGCAAGCCGCCATCGCCGCATGGACCACGGACAATAGGAAGCTTTTCCTTTGGATACCAGGCTCAGTGAAGTGGGGAGACAACAGGCATCTGAGCCCACTGCAATGCTGCTTCTGATTATGGACGTTTCACCATGTTGTGAGGGTGGCAGCTGAATCAAGCCAGGATTAACTGGTCAGCACCTGGAAGGGTGTGTCTAGAGTCCAGGCTCTGCACCTGTCAGCTCCCCATCCCCCACACCTCCAACCGCAGCTCAGTGGTCTAGGGAAGCTCAGTCACCCAAGGACAGCCTTGATAGGCCTAACCCATCACCTTGGTCCAGGACCCATAGCAGTGATCACCGAGCCCTGCGGTGTTTCTGCTGGGAGAGTTCTGCATGTCAAGACACTGAGTAATTGGTTGCAGAAACAGGAAGAGACAGAGTAATTAAGTCTTAACAGCAGCCTAGGAGCACAGAACATCGAGCTCCTGTTGCAAGTGAGCTCCTGTTGCAAGTTTCTAGAACTCATAGGTGGAGAATGAAATTTCAGTTTCCAAACCACGTTCGTGCTCCTCCAGGCATGACTGTCAGCAGTATTCTGACTTGCCATCAGGCCTGGGGGTCAGTTTTTTCTGAATTTTTATAAGGTGTGGCCATGTGACCAAGATTCCTCTTCCTTTTCTAAAAAAATTTTTTGTTTATTTTTTGAGACAGAGTCTTGCTCTGTCACCTAGGCTGGAGTGCAGTGGCGCGATCTTGGCTCACTGCAACCTCCGCCTCCCAGCTTCAAGCTCTGTTACCCAGGCTGGAGTGCAGTGGCGCGATCTTGGCTCACTGCAACCTCCGCCTCCTGGGTTCAAATGATTCTTCTGCCTCAGCCTCCCAAGTGGCTGGGATTATAGGCGTGCACCCCCACACCCAGCTAATTTTTTGTAATTTTAATAGAGATGGGATTTCACCATATTGGCCAGGCTGGTCTCAAACTTCTGACTTCAAGTGATCCTCCCGCCTCAGCCTCCCACAGTGTTGGGATTACAGGCATAAGCCACCATGCCCAGCCTGTTTTTAATTATTTTTTTATTTTAAGACAGGGTTTTACTCTATCGCCCAGTCTGGAGTGCAGTGGCGCAATCTGGGCTCACTACAGCTTCAACTTCTTGGGCTCAAGCAATCCTCCTGCCTCACCCTCGTGAGTAGCTATAGGTGCGTGCCATCAGGCCAGGCTAGTTTTTGTATTTTTTTTTTTTTTTTTGTAGAGATAGGATTTTGCAGTGTTTCCCAGGCTGCTCTCGAAATCCCAGTCTCAAGTGATCCTCCCAAATTGGCCTCCCAAAGTGGTGGTGGTACAGGCGTGAGCCACCACACATAGCCCTTTTTTTTTTTTTTTTTTTGAGAGTCCTTACATTCACTACTACTGTGTCCATTACTAAAGGCAGCAAAATGAGTCTTTTCTCATTGTAGTCAAAAAACTTACCAACATAATGCCTGACAAGTGGCAGGTGCTCAGTCAACATTTTGGAATAAGGAATGAGGCCAGCAGATGCCTTGATAGTGTGCACCAGGAATGACTCATGAGGCCCCTCTGCCTCTGTGGGTACAACTGATGACAGGTGGGCCTGGTGAAGTCATTAAGAATCTGATGTGGCTGGGCAAGGTGGCTTGTACTTGGAATCCCAGCTACCCAGGAGGCTGAGGTGGAAGGATCACCTGAGTCCAGGAGTTTGAGACCAACCTGGGCAATACAGCGAGACCCTGTCTCTAAAAAAAGAATTTTTTTTAATTAGCTGGGCACATTGGCACATGCATGTAGTCCCAGCTACTTGGGAGACTGAGGAGGGAGGATTCCTTGAGCCCAGTTCGAGGCTCCAGTGAGTTATGATCACGCCACTGCACTCCAGTCTGGGCAACAGAGCAAGACCCTGTCTCTTAAGGAAAAAAAAAAGACCCAGGCAGGTGGCCCATGCCTGTAATCCCGACACTGGGAGGCTGAGGTAGGGGGATTACTTGAGCCCAGGAGTTTGAGACCAGCCTAGGCAACATGGTGAAACCCCATCTCTACAAAAAAAATACAAAAATTAGCTGGGTGTGATGGCACATGCCTGGAGTCCCAGCTACCAGCATGAGTGAGACCCTGTCTCAAAACAAACAAATGAACAAAAAAAACCTGATGTGGTCACTTAATTGCTATGGGGCCTGGAGCACATTATTTCCCTCCCTGACCCTCAGCTTCTGGCTCTCTGATTTGACCATCAACACAGCATTTACCCCCAAATAGCAATGATTAAGATGATGCATGTTAAATGCATAACATAGTAACTGCCTTGCATGGAGTGCTCGATAAATGTCTGCTGTTTTTATCTGATGAGCACATATAGCTTGTTGATAGTTAAAATGAAGAACAAATATAAAATGTCATTATGACAGGCTCATCTGTTAAGGCACCACGAATACTTTCTTCTTTCTTGT